TAATGGGTTCAAGTCGTAGCCCTAACCACCAAAGCTCAGCTTTACAGCTAACAAATAGCTGCACAAACACAAGCTTTTATTTTTGTAATGAAAACATAATTGCAACAAAACAACAATTAATCCTGAAACTACAAAAACCCAAGTTTGGAGGCTACCCTGATGGCTGCATCTGTAAACAGTTAAGCGTTTGAGGACTGCTGAGGAGCTCTAATGATCTTCACGTGGAAGAAAACAAGGACGCTGGTATGGAGCCAGGGGACAGACACCGTTTTCTTGAAGTGATTTATGTGTCTTAGACGGGGTATTAGTGGGCACACAAGAAGATGCTTTCCACTGCTATAGAGAGTGAGGTTGAAAAGAGAACACAGTATTCTCCAGCATTATATATTTAACAATTGAAATACAAAGCTAAAAGTTCATGAAAATATAAAAATGTTTTTACTTTGATTAGAAAAATATCTTTCCATTTGAAATGATCTGTGTATGATGCTTGCTTTGCTTCGGGGTCCTGTAAAGCGTATCACAAGGTAAACAGCACCATCTTCTGTTCACAGCTTACCTTCCACCTGTCTTTGTAAGTTAAATAGCTCTTCTTCTGTCATATGAGAAAATCTGCAGTTGGAGCCAAAATCACAAATTCCTAAAAAACAGAGAGAAAGAAATTCCACATTTAAATTCATTTTTACTGATACTAAATCAATTCACAAAAATATGATCAAAGTGCTTTACTTTGTAGAGTAAAAACCCTCTAATGATTGGGAGAAACCCCCGACAGCCTTGTTATCAGGTTTAAACACGATCTTGGCTTCCATTTTTTCACAGTCACACCCAAGATATTGGAAGGGAAGCTATCTCCTGCAACAGGTCGAGGGTGAGGGGAAGATGACAGTACTGTTAGTACGCTCACTGAAACTTTTTGGAAGACTTTTCAGGGATCCTTTAGAATAATAAGGAATTAAAATAGTCCTGCCTAGAAGTAACAATTTATTTCAGTATTTCAGAAGAAAGAAGGACATCCTAGAATATGCTAGAGAAAAGATAAACACTGGTCAAAGTGGCTCCAACATTCCTCACACTGTTACTCCTGGCCATGGTGTTGTAATCTAGAGTTAGTATAAGTAGCACTAAATAAAGCAACTTTGCTATTGCTTGTAATTGTCAGTAGATAATTACAGGTCATTCTGATACCTTTTTGGAGAAACTTCCTGCAGGGCTTCTTTTCTTGCTCATCATGCAGAATAGCTGCAGAGTCTGTGAAGAGAAAATGCTGGTTATTATACACAGTTAATCACATATTATGAAAAAGCAATGCATAATTTTTCAACTACTCTCACCTCTAAAATTGTCAAACCAAGCTTTTTTTGCTCGGTGATGCTGAACACCATTCAGATGCTTTTTTCTGTTATGCATGTTGTCCTGAAAGGACCGGTCGCAGTAGTCACAATAGTACCTCTTCCCCATGGTCAAAGTTGTGTTCAGAGTATGGCAATATCACCTTTAAACACCTGAAAGACAGTAAATAGTAAACAAAATCAAAACTGTTCTAAAAATATAGAGTAAAAGAATACATGAATAGTTTCTATACCATGGTTAGGGTGACTTTAACTAAGAAAACCTACATCAGTAAGGAACAACTGACCACTGTACCCACATCTATTAGATTATAACAAAAATATGAGCAAGTACATATGTAAGAAACCCTGGAGAGGTGTGTGAGTGAAAAGGGAGACAGGCGTAACAGTGAAGATGCAAATAGTAGAGGTAGCGGAGGCAGATGACCCAGGGTCAATCATCCAAAGCAACAGACAGTGCACAAGAGAGGTGAAGAAGAGAGTGCAGGCAGGTTGGAGTGAATGGAGATGAGTTTCAGGGTGAAAGAGTGAAAGGGAAGGTTTACAAGATGGCAGTGAGATCTATGGTTTGGAGATGGTAAAAAGAAAGAAAAACAGGAGGTGGAGATGGAGAAGCTGAAAATCTTGACTGGGGGGGGGACCAGAATAAACAGGATTAGAAATAAGTACATCAGAGGGACAGCTCAGTTTGGAGACAAAGTTAGAGAGGCAAGGCTGAGATGTTTTGGATAATTGCAAATGGGGGATAGTGGATATTATGGACAAAAGATGTTGAATATGTAGCTCGCAGGCATAAAGAAAAGAGGAAACCAAAGAAAAGATTCATGGGTGTCCTGAAGGAGCGGTGGCCCACCACTAAAGAGAGCAGCCGGAAGAATAAGAAGACGTTTACAGCAAAATGTTCATATAAGTTCACGTGTGCAAGCCAGGGTTAAAAATGCTTAGGAATAAAAGTCCTTACACGACAAACTGGGACCAACGGCACATCTACTGACACAAACGCCCGCGACCATTTATTTAGTTGCTATCTGTTTTGTTTTTGTTTGTTTTTTAAGTCTGAAACTATGAAGCATAATTGAAGAAGCACTGAGACGAAATACGTGCATACTAATCACACTCTCAAGCCCAAAACCGCACAGCAAACCATACCTCAAATATTTATCCCTGATGATATTATAGCATGCTGACTACAGCCTAGGTGGCAAAGGCGTTGTCCTAACAAAAGGTACCGGGTATCTGTTTATTAGCATCCGGCCACCAAGCTAAAGCGGAAGTTTCGCGCTAGCGCATCCGTTCCTGCGCAGTGAGTACTGAACCGTCGACATGGCGTTGGCAAAGTCTGTCTACAATCTTCTCTTCAGAAGGACATCCACGTTCGCTGTAACCATCATGGTTGGAGCTGTCCTCTTTGAACGAGTATTTGACCAAGGTGGAGATGCGATCTTTGAGCAAATGAATCGCGGGGTGAGTGCGTGTTTTGGGCTTTTAAAGCACCTGACCTTGTACGCAGAGGGCGAAGCGGCGCAAGCGTTAGCCAAGCTAACTTGCCCGCTAAGTCGAGCGTTCTGGTCTTTTGACAACTTCTTCGTTTAACAATGCCCGTCAGTTGTCTGAAAACTCTAACGTTACATTGCATGTGTTTTATTGCAGAAACTGTGGAAACATATTAAGCACAACTATGAAAACAAAGAAGAATAATGGGACACTGGCTGGGGTTCTATAAGGCTCGATGGCATATGTTGTCACATTTCCATTATCCATTCTTCATGGGCTCCACACCTGAATCAATTCAACATGGACAATGTGCTCAAAGTCATGCCCAGGCTATCGGCGGCTGCCAAGGGACCTACGAGAGCCGACAGACGGTCCAGATCCCGTGAAGATGGAGCAGTGGTTCCTGTCGCTTCGTCTCCTTCCTTGATGTTAATTGTAACGCCTTCGTTTTCCTCACTGATTGTAAATTGTTAAATTAAACATGTATTTGTCTAACATACTTAAGCGTCTTGGTTTATCACGTTGAATAGCTTTAAAAAGTTTCTATGTCCTTTCACCATGTAGTTATTTCTAGTATCTAGGAGAGAACTCATGTCAACTGCATGTTTGCAAACTTTTATTAAGCAAGTGATTTCTACTTTTTTTCAACCTGTATTTAACCAGAAAAGTGTATTGTTGAGGCAGTCTCTCTTGTGTGGGGTTACAGAGGCAGCATTGATCTGACATTATTTGATGACAAGAAAAACTGAAGGTCCTGAAGAAAATCCACACAGAAGCACACACAAGGTGTCTGTTTAACGAGGAAAAGACAGTTGTCTAGTATATATTTGCAGAAATTGAGTTGCTGTGGGGTTTTCAGCTAAGAGTTCTGAAGTCATTTGTCAATGCTTAACAATTTTGTAATATCCCCTCCAATGAATGTACAAGTCTTAATATCTTGATGGAGGATGGCATAGATTTTATACTGGAAACCCTTCCTGTTCCAACCCTCTCACTGTTCCAGGCTTAGGACCAGCACTAGGCCCCTCCAAAGGTCAATGTGTGTGTCTTTCCGGTCTTGGATCTTGTGCTTTTATGGGTGAATGTGAATGAACCCCTATTCATGCACACTGTTAAACCTGCATTAAAAGACTGATCACCAAAAGAAAAAATATTAATTCCATAATTTTCTTGTGGAAGTTATACAAGAACAGGAAATTTGGGAATTCTGTCTTTCAGCAATTTGAAGCACTTCTACTTTATTATATTGTTAAGCAGGGAAGGAAATTGCAGGGGGAAACACATACACAAGCAGAAAAGGCACCCAGTTAAATGAGGCAAACTGCCACATAACCACAAAAATATTTGGACCAATTGACCACTATCGCCACACTCACTGCATTACAATAAAGTTCAAGTTCATGTAACAAAAATAACAGTCACATCACCAAAAGGTAAATGATTTTCAGGCTGCTAGATTTTATCAGTTACATTCATTGGCTGATACACAGCTATACAGTAGATAATGACTGATACTCAAACACACCTTTCACAAGCTTTCTGCTGTTGCTTATTACAGTTTGCCTGACTACAAACTAAAAGCAGGTGTAAAAAATATTTTAGTTATGGAAAATTTATACTTTAGAAAAAACTTGAATACAGACTCACGCAAGATTTTGCGCTAACTAAATAACATAACATAAACATGTATTTTGTTTCAAACCTCGGCAGTTCAAACAACCTTGACAAGTCAACAAGTGACAGTAAGTGATGGGATGTTAGTGTTATTTGTACTGTAAAACATAAACTTATCAGTTGTAATAATTAGAAGTAACACTTAATCTTATCAAACTCAATAACTAAACAAGCACCCACTATCACAACAAATGGAAACTAAACTAAAACAAAATACAAAAACAGTTGCAAAAACACTGTCTGAGCTCTGCTGCAAGCACATGTATAAGAAATCATCCTTAAGCAAAAAAGTGATTCATATTTTCACAACGCAGGGGAAGGTGCATCTAAGCTCCAGATTCTGACATCATGCTCTCCATATCACTATCATTCTCAGGGAGCCAAACCTGTGCAGAACTTCTCCATGGACACAAAAAGTGATTACGCTCTTAAATTTATCCAGTGCAAGGAGGTCCATGTATCACTGAAGTTTGTGTACTCTCCAAGTGTCAGTGCATCTGCCAGCAGCTACCAAGTGAAGAAATTAAAAGTCACTAACTAAAACCTTTTCAGTCTTGAAATGCCAAAGAGGCAAATTTTGGCAAAATACAACAGCTATTTATTTAAACACATTAATCAGCTGAGTCACCAATGACTTCATCTGCCTGAACTGAAGATTAATAGATAGGTGCGCGTGTCCAACCATGTTATTGATGAAGACAACTGGTGTAAACTATTGAGAGGGTTGGAGAAAGGCCTCAGCCATTCAAATACATTCCACACAGCTGCATTTGAGTCCCAGGCCAGTGGAGGGCACACTATCACTGCCTCATACTTCCACCTGCAAGAATCCAGGTATCGCTCATGACTCACCAATGGCTCGATTACCATGTGCTTAACAAAACACCAACACCAGGGTTAGGTGAGCTGTTACATAGCTTGAAACAAATGCATTAGAAAACAAACATATAAACACATTATAGCAGGAATGCTGGTTTTGTAAGTGGCCAGCTTGTTTAAGCCTAAACCTAATGTTAAAAAGAAAACATAAACACATTGCCAGTAATACACTAGCACAGTATTTGTTGAGTATTATTTGAGATACACATAACCAATGTTTTGGCCTTTCTCTGAATATATTCCATAACACGTGCACAAAATGTGACATTACTGTGTTTACAGTTCAAATAGGCATATTTTCACGTGACAATGAACTGCCAGTAAGAATTTATTATTAAAACCTGAAAATGTTTAAAAATAAATAAGATGAAAACATTTGTTAGGAGATGAGCATAACACACGAACATTCACTACATTAGTATTTTTACTCAATTCGCTTGTTAAAACCAGTAGGCTATGGCTCAGCCGTCAGTAGATAGCATCTTTTAACCAACCCCACAGTCTTGTGAGCCACAGGCTTACACCCAGCTCGGATAAGTATTGTATTTCAGGTGTGAGCATTTTTTCACAGACTGTCCTGAATCTCGGATCAATATCTTTCTTGATGTTGTAACCCAGGATGGAACTCTCTCCAACCGGCTGCCAGGGCAGGAAACGTCTGTTCTGAATCTTCTGCACTTCAACCGCACCTCCGCCTTCAACACAGATGTCCTTCATCTCAGCATTTCTTCGCCTCAGCTCCTCTACCTCCTGCTTCATTCTTTCTCTCCCATATGCCTCGACTCTGGCCCAGAAGGTACCGTTAAAATACTGATAGAGTTTCCAGTCTGCCCCATTCCACTGTAGAGCTTTGGCTCTCATCTCAGCATCCAAGTGAGACACGGATGAGCTCTTGCGAGCATTAAGCTTAAAGTACAGGATGTCCTCCATTGTCCAACAGAGCAAATCCTTCAGCAGAATAAGAGACTCCTCGAAATATTCTGCAATGAGGACCAGATGAAAACGTCTTGATAAGTTCTTAATTTCTGTCATGACGCGAGGATCATCAGCCTCGAGGTTGTTATCCAAACCAAAGTCAAAAAAGAGCAGATTTTTTAGATAGAATGAGTTGAAAGCCTCTGGACTGTAGAAGGTCCAAGGGTTGTTCAGAAACTCTGCCAGCTTGTTTTCACCTCTGATCCTCCACGTAAGGGGAACTGCTTTGTGGTAGTAATGGAAGGAAGATTCAAAAAGATCCACCGGGTCACGCAAGATGGTGACGTACACGCTGTCTGGAGGCAGGAGCTTGGACACTTCTTGATGATCAAAGCGCATGTGGTTGCAAACGATGTTGAAACATTCTCCAGGTTTGTAGTCCTTCACCTGGGAGCACAGGAACGGCGATGGGTAGAAGAAGTCATTGCGCCCATCAGGAAATGCAAACCTGAGCTTGTGCTTTTCTCCAAACCTGAAGAGGATATTGAGGATGGTGCTGCTAGCTGTTTTATGCGTCTTCATAAACATGACGTTCACTTTGGGTGAGCACTCTTCTGAGTGAGACTGCTTGATCAAACTTTTGTTTTGTAATTTTGCCACACCGAGGGGACACGTGTCTTTTTGGGAGTCGCTGTAAATATATCCAATAAGTCAGTTTACCGAGTTTATCTTATCTTATCTCTTATCTTTTGTGAACAAAATAATGATTTCCTTTGAAATATTTACCTGAGTTTCACTTGGTTTGGGTTTCTTAAGCAGTACAGCGCCACCATGACGTTGGTCAATAAAACCCATGGAATCAGAACTCGTAACAGAGCCTTGCATTTAGTTGCTTTGATGCCTGACATTATGTGAACCGAGAAGAAACCTGAAAATGAAATCAGAGGTTACACGAGTATAGAGGCGAGTATAGAGGCGAAAGGCAAACACGGCTCTGAATTTACATACTTCATTTGATTTTACTGTTTAACTGCTGCTCTCACAAGCGCCAGACAAATCAATGAACAGCCCAAGTATGCATTTGTGGCAGGAACATCTTGCACAAAACCCTACTAATTACCTCCATTTTCATTTTTTATGGCAACAGTAATGAATAACGACTTATAAACATACATGCAATTCGTATGTTTTAATCTGTCAAGGGGAAAAGGTTAAAACAATGTCCATATGATAAACAAGGAGAGAGGTACAGACTAAGCAGATAAGAGAGAAAATTGCTGCATCGTTCAAATAAAACATACAGCCCCTATGTTGACACTAAACACATGTTTATGGTTTTACAATTTCCTCTTCAACAAACAGCAGAGAAGAGAAACAGATCACTCTTTACTGTAACAGCATCGTGCTCAAAGAAAACATCTTATGTGAAGTGAAAAATGACTGGACATCACGTTTCTACTGCGCTTCTGTTATCGACACGGGAAAGATGCTGACTTCTGATTAGCCAGATAAACATTCCAGATGAAGGGAGCCAAGTGGTGTCATGTGACTCTGGCTCTTTTGTACTGACTAAATATTGCTAGTGATAGCAACCCAGGTATGAGAGTATTTGCTGAGTGTGTGTCACCAAGTAGTGAATAAGTAAGTCGAGTTAAGACTTTCAGCCTGCGTGTAAATGGTGTTGGAGTTTTTCTAGCAAAAAAGTGAGAGTCTGACTTACCTGAAGATGACAGCATTAGAGGTGTTAGGGTGAGGTTAGGCTCCCTTCTAGACCTTGAAATCGCATTTGTCCATCCTAGAAGTGGTATCTTATTGGCTGCTGGATAAAGAGGAAGAGGAATTCTCCTCCCACAGGGGCAGGTATGCAAAGTAGCCTGGACCTGAAGGACACACCTCTGTATAACTGTTGTCATAAATAACCTATCAAGCTAAAAAGACGTTGCTCTAAAATGTGTTCAATTCATGTGTATATGTACAAGTATATGTTATGATAAATATGTTATGGCTTTGATGATAGTGCATTGATGAAACTTCCAAATATAAGAGGAGGTGCATAACTCATAGTATATATTTTTACTGTATTATAGAAGTGTACTAAACTCTGTGCCAGATTTTCTCAAATTATTTTTTAAAGTCTGAAACAGACTGTATTAGCCAAATATTATTTAGCAGTTTATAATAAGTAAATGCAAGTAAATTTCCTGCATTTAACCATCGTATCCAACCAAAGGGAGAAGCTGGTAAAGTAAAAAGTAAACACCTTAATGCTGTTTAAGAGAACTTGTTGGTCCAGTCACACGAGCACTGGTTAAGTCACAAAGCATTTTCTTTTTATATTAAGCTATATATTAAGATTTTTATGTCAAGTCAGTTCTCTGTGACCACATACACACTTTATTAGTACACATGTTATTTACTATCCACAGTTTAGAATATATGTAGCTAGGATATACTGTTTCAAAGCTTGCACAAATGTTCATGGATGCAGTTTGAACTCCTGAAAACACAAATCTTACTGGTCATTCATTATCTTTACACTTACAATATAGAATTTGGTGCTCAGGTTAGACATGGTACAGTTTGAATATAGCAGTGTGTGCTGTGCTTACTGACTGTTTTTCTTCTGTCCCTAGATACTTGGGCGCAGGTGTTGGCTCAGCTGCTGTTGCAGTTGACTGAATTATCTGTTCCAGTAGGTCACATCAACTTGGCAGAGGGAGCCCACTCCTATGTGGCAACAGCTACGGCTGATGTCACTGACATCAGAATACGTCAGAGGGTGATCCAGAGTATTTCACTAAAAGATAAGAGCAGGGTTGAACCTATACCAGCTTAGACTGGATAAACGTCTAAGCAGTGCTGAGAATAGTGGGCGTATTAGCATGCCTGAGGAATGCCTGAGGCAGGAGCTGGATATTAAATAGCTCTTAGGGAGCAAAAGATGAGCTTAAAATAGTAATTCTTCTTTTATTTCCACAGGTTTT